ATGGAAATATTAAATTCACAACAACCAAGCAGCTTGAAATCAAGTCTTTGGTACATGGCCTTTAGAAGACATTTTATATTCAAATTGATATAGGAGAAATATAACTCCTACCCTGTTAGATGCCAAAAGTACAAAAGCTGTGTGTTCACAATATTGAAGAATGAATTTGCAAACCCAAAGAAGTTATAAATGTTTTCTTAGGTATAAGGAGAGAAGACTAGCTCCTGGATTTTCAAAAGGGGTCCCCATTGTGGTGGCCACAGAGGCCCAATGTCCAGGGTAATTTATACAGCAAAGTCACAATGTGGGTTTAATGTGAGTCAAACTACAATCAACCTATAGCATTATAGCTGCTTCGCTAATATTAATCAACAGGGAAACAAGTTATGCAGCAAGGACACTTAGAAAGAGCAAAGGCATTTTAGGAAAGCAACAAGTCCGGTTGTTCTGGTCACCAACCTTGTGATTGATGTCTATCTGGACTTACTGGAGGGGGAGGTAATAATTACAGTATATTTTTAGGTTACAGTTTATCCCTTTGGGAGGCATGTAGGCGTGGCCATTGCATCTTCACTTTTAGGTCTAGCCTTCTTCAGATGTGCCTCAAGACATAATTTTTATGCTTTAGTTTTTTGCTAGTTGACTTCTTTGAGGGCCCAGTCCCTCTCTGACTTTGAATCAAGTTTTGTCTAATTAACTGTCTATAATAAAATCACAATGTTTGAATGGATAAATTGAAGTCTATACATTCAATAACATTATTTAGACTACAAAGAAAGAAATTGTGAAAATATAGATTAACTAGGAGATCTTTAAGTAATATGTGTCAGAGACAAAATACATTTTTATCATAGTTATTTAGAATCTACAGTTGTCAGCCTTACAGTATGGGGGAGCACAATGATGGCTGTTATGTGAAGGATTATTGAAATTGAGAGATGTTAGTTAAAAGGCTCAATATTTTTTTGTGGCCTAGAAAACACCTACAGATCACATGGTGATTAGAGGGATTGATGTAGTGTCCACTATACAGTTGCTATTTGCTAGGGAGTTGTTTGTAGTCTTTTTCCCCACATACTTGAAAGGTGAATGTGTTTGGTAATAAATATACTATCTAGAGGTAGTGTAGTAATGATTTTACAATATAATTGCATATGAAAACATTTCATTATATTCATCAAATATGTTTTATTTATAATTATGCTAATTGAAATTAATAAACAATTTTAACATGAGCAAGATTAACGTGACTATAGCTCTGTGATGTGTCCTCAAGATTTTCTCTTTTCTGGTATTTTTAAGAGAGTATTATGATATGTGGAGGTTATATATCTTTTTTTTTCTTTTGGTCTTTTTGAGACAGGGTCTCGCTATGCAGTTCAGGCTGGCCTTGAGCTCACTTTATAGCCCAGGCTGGCCTCAAACTCGCAACAATCCTCCTGCCTCAGCCTTCTGAGTGCTGGGGTTACAGGCATGCGCCACCGCGCCTGGCTGTGGTGGTTATATTTCTGAACGATATTTAAGTTTTATGCATAAGTCATTGGAAATGTTTAATAATTGGTTTGAG